ATTTACCTGCTGGATTTTTTAATCCGGTGGACAGTCCATCTAGAAAGGCCCTCCTGGATGAAGTTACAGAATCATGAACCCATACTTTACTTGTAGTGTGTCCTGCGTTTACCCACGTTTCATCAAGGTAATAAATCTTCCTGTTTTGATTTCTATATTTCCCAATTTTTGTTAAATAATCCCTCCTCCATAGCACAATTTCTTCTCTATCCAGTAGTAAACTATTACGACCCCGTTTTTTCCATTTGAAATTTAAATGCTTCAGTAACGCATGGAAAGTTGATCGTTTGAAATTTGGCAACGTTGTATCTCCATTTACCTCCTGCAGTACTTTATCTATAGTAGGTATTTCATTCCTAAAGAAGAATTCATGCACTTTCCTCCTAATCGCATGCTTATCAGCTTCATCCAATGATTTAACAATACTTTTGCGATATTTACTGGTCATTGGCTCAGAAAAGGTGTGATTTTTTTTTGTATTGTCTTAACACATTAAACACTGATGCGCGACACACCCCAACTTTGTGAGAAACCTTCACAACAATTTCTTTGATGGTTGATGCCTCGTTCTCCTCGCGCTCGATCTTATATATATTCAAAATGACCTCTTTCATTTCTGCACTCAGGTGTCTTTTTTTAGAGCGTTTCCTAGGTGGACTACAGGAGTTTACAACTTCATCGCCAGTATCTGTACTACTGGGCATTTTGCGCAAGCTGTTGATATCAATAACAATCAATAACAAGGTATAACAATAACAACGACAAACTCAACAACTTAATAAGATAACAAACGAAAACGTCCAAAGAAATATCAAATTGCAATGATGCACACGACATACGTAACACGTCTGAACCTGAATGTGACTCTGCCTTGATACGACTGCTCTGCCGCTCGGCATAGGCATTTAATTGCGAATTGACCAATGAGGGCTCCTGTTTTACGTCGAGACGGCGGCGTTAGCGTGAAAATCACCCGAACCTTTTGTTTACATTCGGTCTATCTCTTATCTGAATATACTGTAGTTTTTATCTCTGAGAAGAAAGTTGGTTGAATAGCAAGATCGCATCTGGATGATTATGTGTATTGGTCTGCATGTGTATCAAATCAGTGATATTTGCTGTGTGAGAAAATCATTACTGGATATGCTCCTAATCAAGTATATCTATTGGCTGTGCCCGACGGGTTATTTTTATCTTGTGCTTTCTGAAGAGAGGTTATGTTCAAAATTATGAATTACGAAAAACTGAGGAGAATTACGGGAAATCATCACCGCGCCCGCGTTGTGTGTAATTACTGTTAGCATGTATATGGCTTGTATTTCGACAGTGTACAGTGAATATAATTATTTCTTATCTCTCTCATTTTTGAAATTCAGCAAATTTGTATAAATTTCCAGAGTGGATAAGAAAAAGTGGATGCGCAACTAATTTCTAGCTTTGAATCTCAATTAAGAGTATTTGAGACAAGCACCCAATATAATTATAATCAACACATACAACTTACAGCTTAGACCTCCAGTAATGCCATCTCAGAAGCAGATTTTACATCACATCCGAGCCAGAGATTGATAACAAGCCTCATGACGGCATAAGGTACAACTAAGTGCTAAGTTAATATCTTGTAGAAAAACCTAGATAATGTCAAAAAAAACCAGCATAATGTCAAAAAAATCGGCATAATGTCACTTTTCAAAATACGTGATACCCGTGCCGACTCCTAGAAGCGTGACAAAATGGATATTCACATATTTCTACAAGTAATTTTTTCATACGGATGTTCATTTACAAAAGCCCTAGGGTCTACTTGATCTGTTTCGGTTACCTGAAGTTATTATTGTACGGAAGTGCAGAAAATAAGAAAAACTAGTGCTATCTGGGAATGATTCGACAAAGTTACGGATTAAAGGACCAACGGAATCAACAACACCCTATGCAAAAATAGGAAAATCGGGAATACATCAAATTGTATCACTTTTCCTAAACAGGTATCACAGAGACAGACTGGTATACCAAAATGAAATCATTACAAATTTAAGTAAGAAAGTATGGATGTCCAAATTCGTCTTATTACACATGCAAAAGGTAAACGTTATAGAAGCCTGAATGCCGGGACACCGCGGCTGCTATGAAGATCCCGAAGAAATTTTGTTAATCCGATTTTTGAACTGCCTAAGGTTAGTAGAACTGGGAAAAGCTTCCTCTTAGCGGTCGTATCGGCCAGTTCTGGGTGTACGAAGTTCGACACGGTTAAGATGGGAGGCCATAGTCAGGCAGGTCTGTCTGGCAGGCACATCGCGCGGCGGCATCATGTAAAGAAGCTCTGAGGAGCAAAGCCCGTTGGTGTAGCGTTAGAAGAGAGCTAGATCGCCGACGACGCCTCGGTGCGAAAGGGTGCCGAGACTGTCTGTTAGAGAAGAGTCGTCGATCAGTTGAACAGCCCTCCTCTGGACAGCATCGAGCATAAACAATGTAGTCGGGGCGGCAGAACACCAAACGTCTGAGCAATACTCGAGGCCAGGCCTTATCTGGGCCTTGTATAGAGTGAGAAGGTCATGTGGAGAAAAGTACTTCTTAACCCTAAACAAATAGCCTAGCTTTTTCCCAGCAGCTTCCGCTATTGACGAGATGTGTTCGTGTCAGATCAGGTCCTCGGTAATCTTGACTCCGACCAGCCGAAGTGGACGGCTCTTTGGCCGAACTCGGCCATCCATCGAAACGGGATGAGCGCTAGGACGCTTTTTGTTCGTCAAGGAGCAGTACTGTGTTTTGGAAGCTTTAAACTGTACAAGATTGTTGCGTCCCCAAGAAGTGATCACCTCCACGTCTCTCGTCAGAGAGGAAGTCGTCGCTACTCTTTTTTTCCAGCTCAGCGGCGGAGATCGGCTTGTCACTCTGAATTCCTGCATGTAGAGTGCTGTCATCAGCAAAGCTGTGGATTGAGTTGATCGTACAGGAAAGGGGGTCTACTTTCAAATATCAGATTTCAATAATGTCATTTATTAGAATTTTTGTATACTTTGAATTAAAGAAATCATGGTTTACTAACGTTCTTCGAATCCATCAATTATTTTAGTTACTTGAGATATTCGAAAGCTGTACAGGGTGTCCGCAAAGTTGGGGTTTTCCTTTACACGACGTGTAGACCTTGAGAAAATAAGGGGATTTTCTCAGACACACAGGGCGACAAACCATCAAACTGTGACTTTCTTGTTCGCTGGATCGAAGAAAAAAAAACAGTAAAAAGATGATTAGAATGTTTAATATTTAAACTATTATTGAACCTCAAAGACCGTGCAATCAATCTACTGGTCTCCATGTTGGTCTTTTTTGGAATTTTTATATCATCGTACTTACTATATTGATAAAATATTTCATACCATAACATTACGTTAAACTTAGTTACTTAGTTTTCCCTGTGGTTAATATTCTCAACGTTGCTTATAGATTTTCGGCGAGAGGAGGAAAAATTCAATATCCATTATTCCCATGACTCTGGATCCGCTCCTGTCTTCTAGAGAATAAATAGATATCCTTCAAAATTTGGTCTACTACATTACTCCCAATATTCATTAACTTTTCAGAAGAAAATAATAATGAAGTGTATGCGTGCAAAAGAATGCAAATATCATTGTTTAGGCCTTTCAAATGTCATTGCCTTCTACTTAATGATTCAAAGAACTTTGTTAAGCTTTATATTTAAATTTGTCTGACTGGGTCTGCCATCTATGTGTGGGCAACTAGCATTATTGATTTACAAGGACTCATTTTAATTTGGCGTACAGGTTACTTTTATCTCACTTTGATATTATAGAGTTCTTCTTTTACTTTTAAGTAGAACAAGTACGAGGGTGATATGATATTTTCGATATAGCAAAATATTGCTCTACATCTACTCATGGACCAAATGTAAAAAAATGGCCTCAAACATTTTCTACTCCATAAATTCTTTAAATTAAGAATATGTCATTTTTCAAGAAATGCTCAAACAAAAAATTCATTAATGTGTTAAATAACAAGAATCATGCACACAATGTCCTATTTTTCAAAAAGCTTAGTTCTGATAAACTCTATTTTACGAGTATCCGTCACCTTTTGACGTCTGCTGAGGTAAACAGCTGATCAACAAGTGACTTCTTTGTATTAGTTTGTGACAATAATGAATCGGATGCAAAACTGTTTAAGCTTGCTTGTATTCAAATGAACTTTTACAAAAGAAAGAGTTGTTTAGCAAGTACAAAATGAATCTGTTTCGTACAGAAAAACAAAACAATATATAGCTCTATGTACCTGGCTTTGACGGATCCTTCAAAATTATGTGCCATTTGTCGAAATGGGGAATTTTTAAATACGAGTATTACTAAATAATCAGCTGTTATTCTACCTTAGTGGATACTCGTGAGAAAGTCTTTTTCTATAAGTCCTTTATTTGTTTTTTTGACACGCTTTTATAAGCTTGGCCTGTATATCTGTATGTAACGCAATCTTTGTGCATAATTTTCACCAATTTCCAGAAGAACTAATTGATAAATCGAACTAAAAAATGAATAATAGTTAAAAAAACACGCTTTTATAGCTGATCGAACTAAAAAGTACAAGATAATTTTTAATTGCAAAGAGTTTATATTACGGTATTAGATGGTCGAACAATCAATCATAATTAATGACCTCAAAATAAAATTATAATAAAATTTAAGTTATTACAAGAATAATTCATTTCAGAGTAAAAAGCGTGGGGTGCATTTTACTACATTTTCATAACTCTCCTCTCATAGATAGTTGAAAATAGAATGATTGTAACATTTGATATATCAAGTACCCCACGTTATTTACTCTGAATTGAATTATTCGGATAGTAACTTAAATTTTATTATGAGGCCATTAAATATGATTGATTTTTTGACCAATTTGCATAATTTTTACCAGGTACATTTGTTTTTAACAGCTCAACCCAATATAAGGAGAATGAGGAGGTTGAACAATGAATAAGAAAGCAAAATTGAGTTTATTATATTACCAAAAAAACTGTAAGTGTATAATATGTATAAATATAAATAATTAGTAACAATAACAAATAGATAGTAACAATAGTCTGAATGAATATATTAACGATAGATAAATGTTGAAAATATTTTCCATGAAGAGAAGAATAAGGTATTCAACTAACATTGCTTCAGCATTTCCTTACAAAATAACATCTAAATATATGTATATGTATGAATAAAATCTTTGAAACTTACTCTAAACATATGATTGTAAAGTGATGATAATACAAATAATCTAAATGAATAGCATAAAAATATGCTATCTGCTCTCAAGATGCATTTGGTGATAAAACAAAATTCGAAATATTTGTACACATTTATCATAATTTTATGTTTTTTTTTGAACTGGCACGTAAATTTTGCAAATTATGCTATCATTCTGTGGACATATAACTTATAATTATGCTAACTATAGTATAAATAAAAACGACCTTTCAAGGAGTTCCAAAAATATATACATATACATTCCTTGATTTTATTGTATCTTGACATGGAACTGCTTTAAACAGTGGAAATGATGTTATGCATATTATATACTAGTCCTAGTATATTTAAATCTTAAAATTATATCCTTCATATTATCCAAATATTACAAATATTACACCACTACAATACTATTTGTTACACAAAAATTACATGTATGACATTTTTTTACATTCTATCAGCAAATGATTCAGAAGAAGTTAGAATAAATGACCCAATATGGTTTTATTCCTTCAAAAAAGATGTTAAAATGCTATGATATTCAGGTTGACCTTGAAAAGCGTTTCATGAAGCTCAAGAAAAGCAGAGCTTTAAGCTCCCAAATCAACTCATCACATACAGGATGCTCCGTAAATTGACGCCAACAATCTATCAATATCTGGTAATGACTATTATCAGAAAAATTGCTACAAAAACCTAAGTTAAGTATTTCTGAAAACATTGTTTAGTTGCAACTATTTTTTTTGCTTTTATTAATCTTTAAATGATAATAACAATGGTCTGAATGAAAATATTAACGATTGAAAAATGCTGAAAGTATTCAACTCACATTGCTTCAGCATTTCCTTACGAAATAACCTCTAAATATATGTATATGTATTTTATATTTTATTAACTCTAAACATATAATTGTAAAGTGATAATATACATAATCATAAAAATATACTATCTGCTCTCAAGATGCTTATGGTGATATAGCAAAACTCGAAATTTTTGTACACATTTATCATAATATGATTTTATACGTTTCTCGTTTTTGAACTAACACGTAAATTTTGCAAATTATGTTATCATTCTGCGGAAATAGAACTTATAATTATGCTACCTATAGTATAAATAAAAACGACCTTTCAAGGAGTTCCAAAAATATATACATATACATTCCTTGATTTTATTGTATCTTGACATGGAACTGCTTTAAACAGTGGTAATGATGTTATACATATTATGTACTAGTCCTAGCATATTTAAATCTTAAAATTATATCCTTCATATTATACAAATATTACACCACTACAATACGATTTGTTACACAAAAATTACAAGTATGACTGCTTGCATTTTCTAACATTCTATCAGCAAATGATTAAGAAGAGGTTAGAATAAATGACTCAGTATGGTTTTATTCCTTCAAAAAAGATTGCTTCAAAAATCTAAATCAAATATTTCTGAAAAAATTAGTTAGTTGCAACTATGTTTTTGCTTTTATTAATTTTCTGCTGATCTAACGTCAAATAATACTTTCCCAAGCTGCATATCATTACACATGCTGTCAGCATACTCTTGATACTATATTTAAAGACTACAAGTCTAGATTAGTTTTTCTGAACTGTCATCACTTTGTGTCTCAACTTGAGTTATGGAGCACCTTGTATAGGTTTATTTATATTAAATACAGTGTTTACCTTGATATGACCTTAAATCTAATCTAGCTTCGACTGTTTTTGTTGATGCTGTATGCTATGTTCAAACTGTATTTCCTCATTAAGCTTCTTGGCCAGGAAATACAACTCTGCTAAAGCTATAGTTAAAGCACATATGATGCCAAGCAGCAGTCTAAAGCCAAAGTCTAGACTGCCTGTTATCAGTTCTACACCTATGAAACCAAACGCAAATCCCGCAGCTACGGACAGTATAAATTGGAAGATCGCCAGGAGGTTCCTGTTCATCTGTTTCACTGAAAATCATTAAAATTACATAACATCATTGATAAACGTATTCTACTTGAAGGTAACCAACCATATACTAAACTCCGGCACCCAAAAGGGGATATGAAAAATCTTAACGCCATCTATGAAATAGTAGCAGAACACAAAAAATGAATCTAGAAATATACTTAGAAAAGTGTTAGCATTTGATTGTGCTACTATCTCATAGGTCTTCAATCATTTTTTGACACCTCTCTATTTTAATTGGACATCTTCAGACATTGATTGACCTATTCTACCTGAAGATAACCAATTAAAATAGACATGACAGAGGCGCCAAAAAGAGTTTAAGATCCTGGCGCTATCTATCAGACAGTAGCAAAATCAAAAACGAAGTATTTTCAAAGTAGATTTCTAAATTAATGTTTGTGTTCTGCTACTGTATCAAAGATGGCGCTAGAATATTTCCGATTCGTTTCTAGTCGCCGAAATACAGTATATGGTTGGTTATTTTAAGGTAGAATACGTTAAGCAACGATAACATAAAATACCGCCTAGTACCATTGATTAACATACAAGGTCTGTCGCAAAGTAAACAGGACAAAGAAAAAATGAACAAGCATTTTTTGTTCCGGAAAATCGAATTTAGTTTAGTCAAAATAGTCTACTTCAGAGTTAATACAGCGATATGCTTACACCAAAATATTTTCGAATTATGATTTTAATGGTCATCGATGCCTTTTGGATGGCCTTTACGTCGGCATGCCGCTGTCCCTCCATTGCCAAATGCAGTTTACCGAATAGGAAATAGTCACACGGTGCCATATCAGGAGAATATGGAGAGTGGTTGATGGTTAAAATGCTATTTTTTGTCAAAAAATCGGTCGATGAGATCGTGCAACAAGCGCCAGCTTCCTTCTTCGCGATATTCTGGCCGAAATTACCATGTTGATGCCGGATGATTCTGATGGGATATCTCATCGCAAGCTAGCTAGACTTGATTCCGAAAAGTTGCTAACGTTGGTGGATGATGAGGTAGAAGTCGCTCTTCTTCCCATAATATCCTACACATGTTCAATGGTTCTCGAGATCTAGGGGGCCAAGGAAAGAGACTGACTTGAGCGTTATTGAGCTAGTCTATTATGGCTCTAGCAAGGTAAGAACAGACATTATCTTGTTAGATAGTAGGAACTGCAAGCGTTTTGAGGAATGGCTAAAAATAAGGTTCCAGTATTTCCTGGGTATACCATTGCGCAGTCATACCTCATCTAATGGAAACTGGAAGAGACTTAGGACCATGCCCTAAACTCTAATTTCTACAGTACCGTGCTCGTGATGTTCAACAGAAAATTTACATTACTTCTGTCTCCGCATCGCCTGCTGACTGGTGTCCACCCATCATATATTCCTAAACAGAACACAAACTCATCACTAAAAGCAATATTAGACCGTTCATCATCCGAATCTCCTAGCACCACTAGCTCTTCAGAACCAAGTACAGCTAGCTTAGGATGGAATATCTTAAGAAGATATTAAAACACCTCCTCAGAAACACGCTTCAGTTACTGGGCGAATATATATTGCGGTGGCCCAACATCAGGTAAATTAAACTATTGCTTATGTCCAATTGTAAACCATCATTTTTACTTTGTGTTATACTCTTTGTCACCGAGTATATTTGTCGCACCGGCCGCGAAACGTGAAATACCTATTAACGCGACATTTTTCGCCGTGTTTGAGTTGGAAGTCAAGTTGCAGAGTATTTCATCAAACATATTTCGTTACGTTTAGTTTATTAGGCGAGCAATATCACCCAATCATCCTCGTGATATTAGCTACCGAAATAGCGCTGGGTAAACTATAAATACATAACACATATTGTGAGCAACTGAAATAGTTCCATGTGAACCAGCGCAAGAAATGAAGCTAGGGAAGGATATCGAAATTTGGACTTTTAGAATGTCTTTCGAGACCATTAGAAAATACAAATGTCTGACAGATTTCAAAATCAGTCAAGTTTTTTTTCTTTGATGGCATGTAAAGATAACAGTTAATGTTTCCTTTACAATTGTACAAATGGTACAATATTAGCTCACTAACACAGTACAACTGTAGTCTATTTTATCGAGTATGTGCTAGGTAAATAATATCGGCTCTAATATGAACATGACATATTTAGTTCGGCAGTAGAATCTGTATTATAGCTAATAGTAGTAATGGTCTTCTCAAACAAGGTGTGTATGAAATTTTCTCAGTACTAGCAATATATATCACAAAATATTCGATTTTATATCACCATCATGACGTTTCTAACTTTTTTTACAGATACTCTAAAATATCTAGTTGCCTGGTGTCAAACTGACAAGCCGATTTGGTTTGGTCCGGTTCATCGAAGGGGAGCAAAGTACATTCTTTTTCTTTTTGTTAACATTAAAAGCCGTTTTCAAACATTATGACAATTGTTGACATGAGAAGCTTACTTGAAATTACTATTTCTCAATTTCTCTAAGATATTTTGAAACTGAGTTTGGTTGACCTTATTATTCACCTACGTGTTTTTTGTTCATTGTTTACTTAGGGAGTGAAATGATACTTTTCAGTAAAGCACTGTGGTCAGTAATGGTGATTTCTCGGGTTAGTAGTGAAAAAAAATATTTATCAAATAGCATTGTGATCACATTGCCAAGTGAAATTTTCGAGTCGATAACTTCGAATAGACATCAAAAATTGAATGATATCAGTGTCGGGTGTACTATCATGTGATGAAATGTACAGCACTACATACCTTCCTATTGTAAGTTGTTTCAAAAAACAGTTTATTTTAGTTTTACCAAGTTGAAGTAGAATATTTGCGGTAATTCAGCTAGGCTTTGTAGGTTATCAAAACTACTCTAGTCCTATTTTTAGATAGTCTGATGTCTGATACATTACAAGAATCATAAAATGAAGGCATGATTCCAAGAATATAAAGAACTAAGAAATCTACTTGTCCAAAAAATCAGAAAAGAAAGGTTATTTACACTATAAATCTCGCTTATTACCTATACAGTTCTTCCATGTTCAATATTGATGAATTTTATTTTTTTCATTAACTTCCTGTGTACTCGATCGTGTTACTTAGCTTGATGAGAGTAGCAGACTTAATGCAGATTTTCACTTTAAATCCGTCAGTTTAGAAGACGTTAAGTGGGCTTGACTGAGCATTAAATCGAATTCTGATGGACAATATCAACTTAAAAATACGCCTGTTAGTTTTTTCTTATGTTCATTGTGTATTAATTATTAATTACTGACAAGTTAATAGTCTCTTTCTAATTCAGTGGAAGACTGCTAAATTAATTCCAGTTCCTGTTAATTACAGTTAGGTATTTGATACTATTAGCCAACCACTGCTTAGTGTAAAATTAAAACATGTTGGTCCTAGTGTTTCTTCTGTCATGCTTGATAAAAATTATTTGTGCGAGAGATTTCATAAAATTTACAGATGGTAAGAAGTTCAATATGCCCATGATAGAGGTGTGAAACAAGGTAGTGGTAGTTCTTGGGGCCTTGTTGTTTAGCATATACATATATTTAATTTTTGCAACAATAATTTTGTAATATCCATCAATATGCTGATGACACGCTCTGATTTGAATTGATTTAGTACTAAATGCTCACAAACCTAAAATGACTATTCTAGGTTATAAATCTTTTGAAATTGTTCAAATTTCAGCATAAAAATAAATAAATCACATATGTAAACCAGATAATACCTGCAAGACTTGGGTTTAAACTTGGGTAGTGAGCTAAAATGTGTGCAAAACCACAGACTACATTCTCGCTGAAGATTGTTTTGTTTTTACTACCTTATTCAAAAGATCTTTGTCATATACTAGGTTCCTGCTTCGCAGTTATACCTGCTGAACATGTATGTGGCTCCACAAATTTTCAAAATATGCAAGTTGACTGTCAATTTGCTAATGCCATCAAAGATATACAAAACGTGATCTGAAGCATTACTTAAAAGCAATGTTTTCTGTTACAATGTTGTGGGTAATAGCTAGTGCCAAATAAAATATCTCACTTGAGTAGGACAATGGTAGGTTTTTGGTACTTGCTGCGACAGTAAAATATTCCCAAAATAAATTTTGTGGATAAATCCATCAATTAATAACTATACAAAATTTTGCATCTCTCAGTATTGTGGTTCAGATGTAATGCTGACAAATTGTACAGACATTCATTTTTATGTATAGAGATGCTGGGGATAAAGGCATTATTAAATTTAACCAATTGATATTGTAATAAAATAAAGGTAGATACTTACATTGATATCCTATGGTGTCTTCTGGGTAGGTTTTCTTCACATTATCTACATGTTTGGTCATTTCATGGTACAATCTGTTATCTTGTTCAGCTTTCAGCTTTTGACAACGTTTCTCTAGCTCCTCGCTCCGTGGTATCAATGCATTCTTAGGTAATATAATTTGAGAACCTTCCATCAGTTCATGCAAGTAAATCTTTTCATCTTGCACTTTGTTTTTCTCTTGCAAATGTTCATACAACCAATAGATATCTTGCAGAGATAGTAACTTTTCTGTATCACCTATCTCTGCAGTATTATTAGTTAAATTGCTGAAATAATCACTATGGCTTTTTGAAATGAACTTTTTAATAAAGTATTTGTCATCCTCTGTTAAAATAAATGGAATATTTACAGACTTAAAATTTGTTTTGACTTTATTTTTATATAAAATATTACTTATTCCTTGTGGTAAGTTATCAGAAATTGTGAGGCTATGTATGTACTGTTTCAATTTATAAGAAGGTGATATCAGTATTGAAGGGCTAGATATTTGAGCTATATTCATTTTGTCAAATAAGGAACTTTTTTTCAATGTCTTCATAATACTTTTTCTGTTCTTCCTCTTTTGCTTCAAAATAGTTGTTGATTTCAGAATATTTTGATGTTATTCTATCCATAAAATCATTCCAAGCAGTCTTGTGCTGATTTCTGAAATTCTCTAATGTAGTATCCTGAAAAAAATTTTGTAGTATTTCACACAAATGCAGATCACTGCTTGTTACCATCATAGTGGTAATTAACTAACAATACAGCTTTACATTATAAAAAAAAACTAGAAAACCTCTGGACTTTGTTTCCAAGCTGAGTACACAGGTTATTAAACAGACTATCAGCAGCAATGCTGATGAAGCACACCAAATTCATCATTTAATCAACATGTCTAAGACAATGAATTGGTAATATATGAAAGCCTGACAAAAACATCTCACTCTGCAATATGAAACTATTATTCATAGAGTATGACTCATTTATTTGATAAACTAGATAAACTGTTATACTCAGCAAAAAAGTGGGTAGGGTTACAGAGGTTCAACATTTTTTTTTTAACTAAAATAAAAATTGTACCTGCTTAAATTTTTCTTCCAAACTACGAATGTTATCACAAGTTTTCAGTGCCTCCAATAGCTCTAAATTTGCTTTTTCTGCTATTACCTCAACTTCTTTACAACGTGGGACTTCTGTGTCTTTAATTTCTGTTAGAGCTTCTATAATGCCAAATAGACGGTCCACTTCTTTGTCATTCCTTTTTCTCTAAATTCATTAGAAATAAGGGTATTAATAGAAGTGAACCCAAAGAATGACATATCAAAGTACCTCAAATTCTTCTAGAGTCAGCTGAATTTCACCACCCAAGAATCCTCTATGGTCGAAAAGTCTGTCCCATAATTTTCCTATATCTGTGGAGCCAAAGAAATTAAACTGTATACAAAAAATATATGTATTTCAGTTACCTTTCACAATATCGGACATTATTTATCTACGTTTTTCAGTGCTTCAAAAGTTTTGCCATCTTTTTAAGAGAAATGTCTGATATCACGTGTGTATGAAGTTTGTGTCAAATCACGGTACACTGTTTTCGAGAGCACAGGCATAGAATTAGAAAATTTTCGGGAAAGGAGCATCTATTACATGATGCAAAGTGAATTATTGGACGCCATTTTTATTAGGATTCATCAATCACAAAGAACGATCTTCGACGGGGAGGGTCATTGTTAATTATTAGTAGATCCACGCCCCACATCCTAGTCATCACAGTACATAAATATGACAAGTTGCAGTGGTATAGGTAGAAATATGGGAACACGCCCTTTTAAAACTTTAAAAATATTTAGGTATCTAGTGGGCCACATTATGCTAAGAATAATTAGCCAAAATTATGTTTATCTATTTATTCATCGCGTAAGATATCTGGTTAAATGATCAATAAATAAATTTTCATGATGAATGTGTATTACTTGTTGTCTGTCATTCACGCCGTACAGATAAGATGATCAGTATTGGAGGCCATCCACACAAATAAAAGAGAGGTAAACTAACAATGATAGCAATAAACCGTCATACTCGTCAATCCCGCCATTTTTTTCTGGATGCCACAGTGCTGTCAGGGTGTGTTGCGGCAACACCCCACTGCTTCCTATTCTTCCACATGGGGAGGCATTCATATGACAAGTATGATGGTTAATTGCTGTCTTTTTTGGTTAACCTTTTTTATTTGTGTATGGATGGTAGGTTGGCCCGAGTAAAGATAACATGGCTACGCAAGACAACTATTGAAATATACTATACTAGATAATCCGTAGCTAAATTTTTCTCGAAATCGTTGCACAATACTTAAAAATATGCAAATGAAGATTGGAAAACTACCGTATTAACGTTCTAAATGGCTCCGTCGTTACCCCGGGATAGATATACGTTTTGAAAGTTGATCTTGTCACCTGGATTGCGACATTGCCAGCTCATCGGACGATTTTGCTACCTCCGCTATCACCAATTCCTTGGCTTGGACCTGTTCCAGGCCTTGCTAATAGTTTTGAGATTTTTCAGAAATGAATGTAAGTACATAAGAATACTTTTTTAAAAATACCATCATGTAGTTCCTAAATAGCGAAATTAGTTTTTTGACATTTTTTAAAGTCAGACAAAAATAAAAACGATTTGGGCAAATTTTAGTTTTTCCCAAATACCTCAGTATATGACTAACTTCTCAGTGTATGCATTGTGCGCAATTTATTTAAAAAGAAAACATAAGAGGTCAACCCTAACACACAAGTAGATGAGTATGCAAGCCTCACCTATAGTTTCCTGCATAGATGACCTGTTTCCCTCAGACAAGTTGGAAGTAGACCTACTTTCCACTTTGTAGACACTTGATACCCACGTCACAACACCAAGGCACCACTGAGAGACAATCGAGAACCCTATAGTGAACACCACTACTGAAAAAAGTAGCTAAACCGAATAGAGCTCTGTACGGAGCTGTGAACGCGTGGACATTCCCCTACGCCGATGGCTGCCGAGAGACTTAAGCGCGCAAGTGCTGTACCTCGCTGTGGCGATACGGTACGGGTAGTACAGCCATGCCCCTTTCCAGCTCCCACTCCGAGCGTCTGCTCCTGAAGCGACTCGATGATTACGTTTTTTTTTGGCTTTAGGACTAGGCCATGCAGCCAGAAACTAGGTTGGATATTTTATATATTTCTATAATGACAAACACACGACGTCACAACATCCATGGCGAAGGCGAGATTCGAACTCGCGGCCCGGCCGACCGGCTGATCAGTAGCACGACACTCTGACCAACGCGGCCAACCGCGGCCCCGATGATTACGTTGAACGGTAGCAGACTGGGCATTTATAAAAGTGTTCAGAGACATTAACGTTCCGCCGCATAGACGCAAAATGTAAATAACAGCTTTTTTTAGTTTGTTAGCAAACATTGCTACGCCTCAAATTTTATATATCTCCATTGGTATCCCTCAATGTTTTATTCGAAGCTTCTTTTTTATATAACATTCTAGCAGATATAACAAAATTGTCCGATGAGCTGGCAACGCAGCAACCCAGGTGACAAGAATGGCAAAGTCAAATGCCAAAACGTATGTCTATCCCGGGGTAACGACAGAGAGTTACAGCACGTCAAAGCGTCAGTTTTCCAATCTTCATTAGCATTTTTTAAGCGGTGTGCAACGATTTCGAGAACAATTTCGCTACGGATAGTCTTCTAGAGTCTAGTAGAGTATATTTCAATACTTGTCTTGCGTAGCCATGTTATCTTTACTCGGGCCGGTAGATTTTCGTAACTACAAATTTTATTAAAGTGGTTGTTATTTCAACTACATTTTTGTGAGTTGATGAACTTTAGAATCATATTTTCCGTAAAACTTTTACATTCTGATTATCACTGTTATGGAAATGTGATTAGATAGCCCTGTGTTATAATTCTTATGAAAAATCCGCTAACTCTAGTAACCTTACAGTTGTTATTGATAACTATCATTTCTTTTTGAAATAATTTGTTTTTATTACTAATTCTAACAATTTTTCTATACAGGTGCTGCAGAAGACCAGAAATGAAAATATTTGGACCATAAATATTATTGATGTGTTCATACAATATGAAATTTAGATAAAAATATATTCTCAAGTATAAATTCTTTTACTGTTCTCAAATGTTCAAATAGCTATAGAGAGATATATGGATGATTTTATAATGGCATGTGTTATTGACGCTGCTGCTTAAACAGATAAGTGATTATTTATTTGTCAAAACAGCAAAAATATGTTAATAACACATGTCGTTATAAAATCTTCAATATATCATTAGTAAATGCCCAATACAAGATTCTCAGATTTATGCAAAGAGCCGGCAACGTCGCATTCGGCGTTCATGCCCAATCAGACAACCATATGGTATCCAGAAAAAATGGCGTTTGACACTCACATATATCGGACCGTGTTGCCTTATGGATAGCACGTGACTAAACCTTCTTCCTAGTGTATAATTTGTATATGTTTTGTGTTCTTCCATAGGAGTTCATCCCCAGCTGTCACCAGTGTCATCTTTTAAACATCAGTGATCAGTGTGACCAATATAGCGTATCGGAAATCGCCATACCAGTAACAAAAAGAAAAACCCTACCGCTTCTGCATTCTTTTGTGAATTTTGTCCAGATTGTTGGCATTAGTGAGAATGTGTGAAGTGATCAACAATCTCATATTTGCAGAAACAATGCATACTATCAATAATGTTTATTTTTGTTGATATGGTGTAATACAAAGTGTATAACTATTTGATGACAGTTGTGAAGTGATGGTTAACGTCTTTCATCTATTATTCAAAGCTCACCCGAGCTTTTTTCTTTAAACTGATGACAATTTGATACTTTTTTGTGGATACATCATGCCTACATTAATTGGAGTTACGGAGTTTGTTCAGGAAACAAGGGACGACTACAATTCTCCAATTACATCAACTTTCGTATCTCGTATGCAGCAATGTAGGAATACCATTACAAATTTGGAAGAGGTAGGGTCACTGCATTTATTTAAACATTACTCAATTCAAGGTACTTTCCCTTTTTACCACTTGCATTTATTGTAAATACATTATTTTTTATTGCCAGTCACGATTTATAATATATCCTGTGTTATTTTTGGATAGTAGTCATACTGCTTACACATATCTTGTATTTTTAGATGCAGCAACTGTTTTTTCTTATCACAGGATATTCTAGTTTGTTTGAGATATTGATAACATCTTAGGAGCCCTGTACATAATTTGACCCAGATTTTTAATTATTACACCAACTCATTAACAACCTACTCATTCATATCATCATCATACTGACAAAGGATGTATGCAATTTTTCCAATTATTTATACTCCTATTAAAAAACTACACATTTGTGTGGGTTTGAACCTTCTTATCTACCTACTCGTTTTTCTATTGATAAAAATATGACATTTAATATTCGAGCAATGATAAATGCTTGCAAAATAATAATTATGGTCTAGTTAAAATTCATATCATATCAGCAAACTCATGTGCATGTATGTGACAATATTTACAATAAAGCGTAGTTGTTTCCTATTACTTTTTGAAGATGAATAATGATAAATTGTGCCTTAAAATTTTTGAACATGGATAAAGTGAGTAATTATTCCCCCCAAACAATTTGAGCTGTCTTTGTATAACTTAAATGTATACATCAAAAATAAATATCTATATTTTTAAGAAGGGATATTGGAAACACTCTGTGTATGTGTGTGACTACCCTTTCACCATCTATGTTTCTTTGCCTGAGAAACAAATTCCACATTCATCATTGATCATGATCATTGCTCATTCTCTTGCCATTTAGTTTCTGTAGTAATTAGCTCATGGTGCTGTTCAGTTTCTGTCAAAATTCATAATCAAGCAACACCAAGTGTCTAAAGTTTCATTAGCAGCATGAGAAAAGTATTGTAGTATTCACACTGTTTATTGAATTTTAGATTTTTTTAAATATCTTGTTATGTCTGAATGACAAAAATCCCTGATGTCGGCACACATCAGCATTTGCAATAGCTCTGGGTAAACTCACACACTTATTATGTGTTGGGGAGGGTTATTCTAGGAGGTTATAAGAGATAGTGCTGCTATATTTTTGGAAAGATTTTATGCCAAGGTTTAAAGTGAAAATGGAATCTAAAAAATGGCACATTTCCTGAAATTATCCTTTTTCTCATTATTTTATTAGATCTTCAGGTCCATAAAGTGTTATAATAAATTGAACAATGAATATTTGGTGTATGTGGGAACTGGAACTGCTGCTTAGGCACCTCTTCCTGTTCTTCGCTATACATTCGATAGTATTAGATTTCAGAAGCGCTGCTCAAGCACACCCCTTCTGGTTTCTATCTGTTCAATTTTGAATTACCAACAACATAGCATTCGAGCATTTTCATTCACCACCAGAGAAAAGCTTGCTGAATACTCATTTTTCTCGGGGGCTCTGTGGGCACTCTGAAAGTGGTTTTTTGAAATCTTGCATTTTGGACTGAAAATGTACTAAAATCATACCCATTGACTTGTATTTTTGTCATCTACGGTACGAAAGTACTTGTATTTTTTAATTTGCAAGATGACAGACTTGTTTCAACATATCTTTCAGTTTTATTGTAACACATTAATGCTACTTTTTCATCGAGTTTTATATGGTCATTTTAATTCCTACGCCACAGGGCGAGGAGGTATTGCAATTGCACAAAATTTCGAAAATGAATGTTGGATTTTGATGAAATTTTCACACAGGTTTACTACTATGCCAAGGACAAAAAAGCTTTGTTGTTTTTGAAAATTGGTTCAGTGCTTGCGGAGTAGGGGGTGAAAACGGAAAAAATAAAAATCGCTCATACTTTTGACGTTTCAGAGGCTCGTGATCATTTTCTAAAAAAAATTTGTAGGGGTTGAAAATTTGAAGTTGGGGGCTGTAGGGGGTAGGGGGTCGTAAATTAGTATCACTCCAAGACGTTCTATCATTGAGAGGCTTCTGATCCCGGTAACAATGGGAAAATGAAATGATAAAAGTTAAATGACTTTGTGTGGTGAACTGCGGGTTGCGACGGTGTCCAAACGGGGAATATTTATACATTTTAGGGATATTTGGGTATTAGGAGTACATACCACTTTATCGTTCTGCGATGCTTTGGTAAATTATGGCTTAATTGTTATTATATCTACACATCTTTTTCTGAATTTTATGATCCTTAAATGTACCGACCCATTTCACCTGACCTTTCGTTTGTGTTACCCAGTATACAACAGACACCGACTGACAAACCGACATAAATGAGAAACATGGATTTGCGTGATGCAGATATCTTTAAGCAACAGAAGACTTGTGAACTGAAGGTCGAGTATTATTGCGAGTTCAATACTTCCATCGTTCAGGTAGTCGTAGATTTTGAAAATTGATTCAGTGGCGGCGGAACTACAGATAAAAATAAAAATCGCTAGCACATAGTATTACAATGTCCCAGAGATCCGTTCTTATTTCCAGGCATTGTTGAAAATGAGATATGTTTTTTGGATGTTGTATGACATGTAATAATAATCGCCTACACATATAACTCGAGAAGTAGCGCTCGGATTTCGATTAAATTTTTACAGATTAACTACTGTGCCAAGGACGCAAAAGCTTTTCATTTTTTGAAATCTGTCGAGTGGTGGCGGAGCTAGGAGCAAAAACACGGAGGGGGATAAAAACCGCTCAATGTTCGTTTTTTGATGTTTAAGAGCCTCATTTTCAGAAACAAATTTTTAGGAGTTGAAAATCGGGGTTTGGGGGTTGTAGCAGCTTTTTGGCAGCATCCAATTTATACACCTTGAACCCTATTAATTTTACGCACTTATCAATACATATTTCACACATCATAGATTTCCCCGAGCATTTCCCCTTGAAACATCTAATCTGATTGACTATGACTGCATAGCCAGTTCTCTCGAGTTACTATACTCGTGTGGTTCAGCACCGTTGCCAGATGGTCGATACTTAGAGCAGGGAAGAAACAAGCGTCAGCGTTATCAAATGGGTGGGGACTATGGAGTATGGACTAATTGCATGGGCCTGTTCGACTGACTTGATCCATTTAACTTTTTTCTTATACACGTATATAGGGATTAACTTGTTCCGAAGTGTTTTGAACTGATGACAACGTTGCGTAGCGAACTTTCTTGACTCCATTTCTTTAGACGTTTCTGTAACTTGAGACAGATATAGCAATACTGTGCGTCTACAAAAATATGAACAGGAAAAAATTCCAGGCAGAGTATCCGAACGCAAGTACCTACTACCAATCGCAACATTTATTTTCTTACTACAACGCAGAAAAAACATCCCAAATAACCAATCCTGTGACCACAAAGAAATAACGAACACTGATCCGTAGGTTTCAACTGCCGATTATGGTATTGGTTGTCTCGTTGGCCAATCAATGCGAAGCACTTTTTGTATGGCTAGTTCTACATTTGGGTACCGGCAAAAAGAATAAGAAAAAAACATTAGATGAAACGAGTCTTATATTTCATTATTTGCCTGAATATAATTCTGAAAATTAATTCCTTTATTTCGTATTGCTATTGGTCCACCAATGAGGATAGGAAATCTGACCGTACATACCGGTTATACAGGGTGGCGCATCGAAAACGAAACAGACGCATTTACTGGCAGCTCAGTTTTTTTTTGGAAAAACGCTCAGACCCGTCGATTTTGTTTTCGAGGGGGACACAAGTTTGGCAAAAAATCACGTTAACACGTGCAGCCCCCTGGGCGGAGGTGACACCAACCCTAAAATCTTAAATGGACGGGGGTCGAGTGATACCTTATTTTAAAGGTCTTTCAATTCGCTTTATAATGATGTAAAATACATGAGCTTCAGTTCAGTAGTTTTGAAGATTTATTGATTTAAAGCTTAAAGTAGACTTTAATAGGTACATCAGATTAGTTTGTACTACTTTCAGAAGAAACTTGACTAAAAGAATTTACTTAATAAGTAAATGCTTTTCTTCACTACGCTCATGGTTTGTTTATCATTTTGTTGTTGAAAATAGCTATTGGAGCGTTTTTTTGTGACAAAAAAGTTATTTCTTGAAGAAAGATAAGGAAATATCTCGTACTTATTTTAAATAGGAATTTAGTACATAGTTTGCGATTGATTTGACCAAACTTGGTTGCTAAAATAACTTGTAACGCTTTATTACATAAATTAACCATGGTATATTCCACAGCAGAAAGAGTTGAAATTATCGAAATATTTTTCGGAAATAATCAGTGCGCTAATAGAACAGAAGAAATATTTAATGAGCGACATGAGAACAGTAACGTGCATCGAAAATATGTTCTAGAACTTGCAGCTAAATTTCGGAAAACTGGGTCAGTCGCCAATCAAAAACACAACATTGAAAATCCCATAAGGAACGAAGCAATAGAAGTGGGGGTTTTAGGGCAAGTTTATGTAGATCCTACGCTAAGTACCCGCAAATTGGAGAATGTGTGTGGTGTTAATCGACGTACTGTCCAACGGATTTTAAAGGTCCATAGTTTTCATCCGTATAAAATTCACCTGGTACAAGAACTTGATGAAGATGATTTTGATCGGCAATTACAATTTTGTGAAGATATGAGTAAACGAATTATAAACGATGAACATTTTCTATTCAACACTTGCTTTTCCGACGAATGTTCCTTTTTCCTTTTTCTAATCCCAGAATTTATCATGAGGTTCATACACAGCAGCCACAAAAATTAAATGTTTGGGCTGGTATTTTCGGCGATCATTTAGTTGGTCCTTTTTTCTTACCTGGAAATTTGACCGGTGAAATGTATTTGGAATTATTGGAAGACGCCATAGATCCTGCATTAACAGCCATAATTGATAATCAGAATGATCGGCGGTACATTGCGAATAGGTTGATGTTCCAACAGGATGGTGCCCCACCACATTACGCATTACGTGTTCGACAATATTTAGATCAGACATTTCCAG